TTCTCTGAATGGCTGCTCAGCATTCAGGCCCTGCTCATGTGGCTGAGGCTTGGACAAAGCTCAGTTCAGGAATCTCAGAACTAGCTGGAAAACTGCCCTGCAGTCAGGGCACTCTCCCACATCAGCCCACAGTTGCCTCTGCTAATTTTAACTATCGCAGCAGAACATGTTGGAGGAAGGTCTAAGTCATCATAGGAGGGAGCACAAGAGGTTCTTCTCTCCAGGGCTACGCTGGTATCTGCTCTGCCAACCAGGAAATTGCTTGTCCTCTTAGAGAAAACTGCAGTGAAAACAGGCTGCAGACTCAAGTCCCAAGGAAGAGCACAATAGGTGCCTCCATAAGCATGTGCTACAGGAGGATTCCTGTACACTTTCCTAGCTTTTCTTGCAGCACTGAAAAATACAAATTGTGTTTTTCAAAAGCAATGTACAAGGCAGAGATAGACTGAGCTTATGTCTATTGCCCCTCCTCCTTTTCTGAGTCTTGGCTGTGTTTCCTAAACATGATAAAAAAATCTGAGAAATCTCTGCTCTACTATTTTTTTTTCCTTCTGGTCCACTTCAAGAAATTCTAGGTTCTGTTTACTTTAGAAGGCTCCATGGAGAATGAGTATGACTGATTTGGAGCTAAAAGCCTCTGAGTTCATATTTAGAAGCCCAAAGCATATATCAATAGGAGCAAGCCTGATCATTCTTAATGCTTCTAGCAAGGGGGAAAAATAATCAAGCTTCCTTTTCACATTATACAGAGCTTGAAGATAACCCTAGTCCTCCTTCTCCCTGGTTTCTGAGCTTTCTTTTTAACCTGACTGTAGTGTTTGACCTCAGTGCTAAAATAGTATCTTCTTTAAGCAATAAGTTAGGCAGAAGAGTTAAAGTAACTTATCAAAAAGCATCACATCACTCTATCTTTTGTCCTGGAGACAATACTCTACCTTGCTGCTATGAAGCCATCCAGTTGTCTTACCATGGGCAGCTGCTTTGTTTATTTACAGAGCCATTGGGCCAGGGGGAAGCCAGAGACACCTGCTATTTAACTGTGAGCCAGTGTTTCCTACCTCTAGACCAGGAGCCGCACAAACCATGTGAGTCCTTCTCAAGCCAGGATTAATTCATCTGAAAGCTCAAGCAATCTCCTCTGAGGGTCAGGAGAAGGTGGTTAAAAAGTTTTGCTGGAGGAAAAGGCACAAAAGTCTCTATGATGCTGCTTCTACAAAGGTGGAGGCTATTAGGGGATCAAGCTGAGTAATTCTGTGAAGGCAGATAGTTTCCCTCAGTTGATCAGCATCACCTGACAGGAACTACAAGAGCTTGAAAGGTTTCAGAAACCGTGCAAACAACTGCCTAAAAATACTGGCTTCAGGAGGGAGAATGTTGCCTGCACCAATGCAGAGAGCATGGGGCCAGCCCCAGTTCCTCGATGCCACCTGCCCAGAGCCACAGGGAGCCTCCTGCAGAGCAGTGCAGCAACGAGGCTATCTGGGGGAGATGGGCTCCTATGGCCCACAGCAGCAATGCTGCATGCAGTGCCTCATTTCTCGCTGTGATCAGGAGAACGGCCAAGCAGAAATAGTGAAACAACAAGGCAGCAGATTTTTTATCTCAACAAATCTACAGTAGGCCATTTTGAGTGCTGATACATCAATTAGTCTGATAGGGGTAAAACGCTCTGCATTCCCAAAAAAAAAAAAAAGAAAAAGAAAAAGAAAAACCTTTTCAAAATTATTTAGTTTTGCTTCACTAAAAGATAAGATTTTAATGATCCTTTTATAATTCCATTTTTACTTTTTAAAAAATATATTTCATAATAATTTGACATCAGGACATTGCAGGAAGGGGATTCTTACATCGTGAAAAGTTTCAAAATCTAGGCTCTCTCCTTCTAGTTTGAAAAATAAACAAATTTTTGAATATTGGAATTTCTCTTGGAAGAACAATTCTTGTTTCTGCCTGGGGAAAGAGCCATTCCCTCTGAGGAGGGCAGCTGCACACAGGCAGCAGAGAGGGGATATGAAATCAGGAGGGCTGAGGCCGGTGCGAGGATGAGCCCAGCTCTGAGCCTGTGCCAGGGAGCGCAGGGCGAGCGCCCTCCGCGAAGCCTGTGCTGGTGCTGCGAGCGGAGGCCTGTAGTGACTCCCCACGGTAGGAGCTGGGCAGTGCATGTCTCCAGCCTGCAAGTTTTGCGTGTGCAGCTTTGCAGGCTCGGCCTGGCTCCGGACCAGTGCCAGCCTGGCTCTCTACAATGTTTTGTGTTACACAGAAACGCTACTATTCCTCATCGCCTCTCTCCTCCCCACACCAGAAGGCCGCAGGAGCTGCCAGTGCTCATGGGCAGGGCCCTCTTGGCAACAGGGAAGGCCAGCAGCTGCTCCATGTGCATGCTGGCTTTTGGGGCAGCAGGACAAAGTGCTTCATGAGCTGTGAATCCAAGATGAGGGCTCTGGCCAGGCTTGCCGGTGCCACATCTAGCACCTCTAGGCAAAGAGATGTGCTTTAAGTGAAAGAAAGAGAGTGTAAACATGCGAATCCTTCTCTCTTTGGAGACTATCAGAAGCAGCTTTGTTTCAAGCAGCAGGTTCTCAGCACAGGTTGCCCACCCTGTGCCGTTAAGTACGTAACTTTGGGCTGCCCTTCGCATTGGACAGAAGGGGACAACAGGGCACCTAGAAATGGCAGAACAGGAGCCAGCGTGGGTCAGGTGTGAGAGGAGGGGGTGGTAGTGATAAAGCAAACCACAGCCAGAGATGAGCGCAGGAGAAGAAACCGCCTCCGCACAGGCCTTTTCAGAGGCCCAGCACTGCCCATTGGGTGAGACAGGGCAGAGTAGCCTACAGAGTAGCCACTGCTGACCCACTGCAGTGCCTGAGCGATCACCAGCCTGGAAATACAGCTAGAGCAACTCCTGTCTGTAGTGTCTGCTTCTGATTGAGGCCCAAACCCCAAACCAGTCTGACCAGCTGGAACCTAGTTTCAGGCTACACCCTTCTCTGCTCTCTCCCTGACTTAGTGGGGAATTATGTCACTCCCAGTGCTCCCCAGGCAGTAATGCCCTCTCCAATTCACCAGTCTGTGCTGTGTCCCCCCTGCACCCAGTCCTTCCCACAGAGGGGATCCCGGCTGCAGAAACGCCTGAGCACCTTCCCTGTCTCAGTCTGAACAGATGGCGGGGGGTGAGAGCCTGTAGGATGCGACCTCCCCCCCTTGAAGGCCATTGCTTCCCAGAAACTGCTCCCAAGGCAGATAAGACAAACAACTCCTTTTTATTACAACTTGTGTTATCAGAGTAAATGCACAAAAAAAGAATCAAGATTTTAGGCTTATCATATAGACAATAATGGGCTATGAGGAAGGGGGAGGAAAAAGGAAGAAATGACACTAGACAGACCAAGAAAGGGGAGTACCTGACCACAGGGATACTGACCACCCATGTGAAAGGGAGAAGCAGGCAGTTCCATTGCCAGTGCTCTACGGGCAGCTGCTTCTTCCCTTCCAGTCAGGGCATCGGCCTGAAGAGGCAGCTGTCCTAGCACAGAGCTAGGCCTCACCCCAGCCTTCCAGAGACACTCTACCCTTGGCTTGGAAAAGGATGACCCTATGCACCAGGGTCCAGATAGTTAAACTAAAATTGGTGCATACACACACACACACACACACAAAGCTTTTCCCTCTCTTCATAGCAAAAATTTTCTAAGAGTAGCAAGTGCAGGGAACTCGTGATTGATGCAAAGCCAACACTGAAAAAAGCTTATCAGGCACTTTGGAAATGGCAGCTTCTGCCCCCAACACAAATCTTCAGCCCCCAGAGGTACAAGCCTGGACTGCAGAGAAACAAGCAGTACAAGACCGGGAGCACCCTGCTACAACAGCCTTATTATTGAACATAGAGGACCTCGCAGATGAGAGGGAATTTCCCCCGCTGCCTCTTGGCCTGGGATTACCTTTGGAGCTGGGCACGTCTTGCACCACAAAGGAGAGAGCAGAAGTTCAGAAGCTCTGGTGTGAGCCCTGCTGCTCCTGTGCTGTGGGAGACACCAGGAGCTAGGGCAGTGGCCGCGCTCTCGGCAGAGACGGGAGGAAAACAAGAGTGACAGCAGAAACTTCCTCGAGGGAGCTGGGGCCACCGGCTGCTGCTCAGCAGCACAACAGGGCCGCACAGCAGCTTCAGTGCCCTGGGACAGGTACATAGTGCCCAGGTACTGTCCCAAGGCCTGTGCCGTCACTCGCAGGTTCCTCCTTGCATCTCCTTCCTTCACTGTGCTTCTCTCCACAGCCTCTCCTTCTTTTCCTTCCTCAGAAAAGCAGCTTCCCAGCTGCAACCCCTGAGCAGTTCTTTGACAGGACTTTTCCTCTTTGGGAGCCTCTTTGGGAGCACCAGACATCACTGGCTGGCACAGCAGCAGCAGAGGAGCTGGCTCCAAGGGAGCTGGGCCTTGCCACTCTCCTCCTAGCCATCAGCCAGAAAAGTGGGAACATTTCCTTTCATTTTACTTAAAGAATAAATAGGTATTTTATCAACATCTTCAGGGTTTGACTTAATGCTAAAAAAAGCACATAGCAACTCATGAGAAGAAAATGGTGGCTGCAGCATGCAGTCACGCAAAAAAAAAGAAATCTAGGTGCACTTTTCTTTTAAAAAACAAAATCTATTGATTAAAACAGAAGTTTCCCTGTTTCTGTCAACCTAAGGATCAAAAAACACTTGAGAGTGTCACAGAGCTCTCAGAACAGGCTGAGCTGGTTATGTAAAACACACAGCCACCAAGAGACTCACCACAACCACAGGATTGGTGGAAGGCAAGGCCACCTTGAAAAGGTCTAGGAAAAAATGGAGGAAAATAAGAGACTGGGTAGAAGAAAGTGGCACTGCACAAATAAAAATTGATGGCTATGGTGAGTTTGCACCTTTCATGAATATGAGTGCTACACAAATTCAATTCCAGGCTCCTTCAGTAAGTACAGCTGAGTTCTGCTCCACGTTTGAGGAGGAAAAAACAATGTCACTCAGAGTTGTCACTGAATTGTTTGAAGCTGGGAAGGGACAGCCATCAGAAAGCATCAAAATGTTCCCAAATCCTCAGTTTCCAGAGCAGCCAGTTATCCAGGACAATAACAATCAGTAGTACTGCCAAATCATGGCTAGATCTTGGCCTCATGCTACAAACGTCTTCTAACAGAAAATGTCCTTCAGGTGCAAGCCTGTATTTAAAGACAGAACTCCCAAAGTTCTTGGGAGTGCCCCAGTGCTGGGCCAGAAAGAGAGAGAATTTGCAGGTCAGACTGGTTTGGTGGCACCATTGTAGAACAGGTGCGTAGTGTCCTCTGAGGTGGAGAGGGTTGAGTTGGTAGCAGTGGCTGGCTGACGGCGTCTGCTGTTCTTCCTTTTCTTGAGGAAGAAGTAGCCAATGATCACCAGGACCACCATGATGCAGATTCCAAGGAGCACAGCAATCACCACCTCAAAGGCACCTGCAGGAGGTATGTGCACATGAATTACAAGGGCCCTTCCACTACCCTAAAGCAGCACAAGTGGTCAGAAAGAAGCAAGCGCAGAAGCTGCTCAAGAAGCTATGCTGGCAAAGAGAAAGGCAGCGAACGCCCTTCTGAAACCTGAGCAAAGAAGAAAGAAGGCAACTGCATGGCGTAAAGGTCTGGCCAGGGTATAGCAGGCTTCTCTCTCCCAGATTGCAGTTGCATCATTTCTCAGCTGCGCTACGCCCTCTAAAGGCGAGTGGGTGCTGATACGTGCACACATGGGTATTAAACACTTTCCTACAGTGGCACTGCTTCATGAATCAGCTGGGAGCTCCCACTGGAGTGGATCATGTTGTGGGAGTGAGACCTGCTGTGGATTCAACAGGCACAGGGGGGAACACCATGGGGAAAGAGCTCATAGCTGTGCTCTGGGCAAATGCAAGTTGGCAGTCTTCCACTGTGCCCACCAATCTCCTTTGTCACCAGTGCAGAAAGGTCAGACGTGATGTGTTTGAGCGGTGGGGTGAATCAGAGCGTTAAATCCATCTCTGGGGCTTGAACAAAAATGTAAAATATAAGGATTGCTTTTGTGAAGAAAGAGAGGTTACAATACCGTGGTGAAAAGTCACAAAGGTTAATGTTATTCTTTACAGGATCTTACAAATTGATGGCTTTGCTGTTATTTTCATATGTAGCCAGGGGCTATAGGGTCATTAGATTTCCTCAACAATCTAACATCCAATATTCCACCTGTGTCTTGTTTTTTTGGAGAAGCAACTGATCCTTGTGTAAAAAGGGCCCTTAAAAATAGCAGGGAAAAAAATTCTCTGCTATTTTTGACTTTGAACACCAGAGTATTCATGCAAATGTTGATCGAAAGAGAATCAGAGGCCTCTGCTACAAGCTACTGAGTCACCGGCAAAGGAGAAATCAGACCACAAATGCATAGTCCTCAGACTGTTTCTTCAGCTACTGTTAGTGTACTACACTGTTCCCTCAGCTTAAAAAGACAGGGGCAGAGAGGTTATTAATTTCAAGAAAGGCAAAATATTTTTCAGGAGAGAGTAAAATAGACAAGCGCTGTAGGAAGAACTGTTAACTCACTTAAGCTAGCGGTTTGGTGCTCAAATGACTCCCATCTTCGGCCTATGACATCTGCTTCTGAATAGGGAGAAATAGGAAAAACGTTTTATAAGGAGAAATGAAAACAAGGGATAGGACTGTTTTTATAGCATGGTGCTTCAGAAGAGCAACAGGTAGCTTCACCTTGGATATGCTTTGGCTGAATTCCTCCCATTGCTGCTGCTGGCTTCCCCAGGAGCACTTCCAGCTCCCTACACTGTAAGAGCCTTCCCTCTTGTTTTTTTAAAGTTACTGCTGAATGCTAATCATCAAGGATTTTCTTGCATTTCAAGGAATGGTAAAGAATAGTTCCTTATCTTCTCCAGCTACTGGCAAATGTAAATATGGCTGCTTCTCCCCTCTTGGTTTCTGTCTCTTGGGGACCACAGAATTTAATCGGATGGGATTTTTAATGATCCATCCCCAGCTATGCCTGCTTACTTGTGACGCCTGCACATGATTTTATGCACTCTTCCTCTTCTCCAAAGTTGTTCTGGTTGCCATCACAGCCCCCGTAGGTAAAGCGGTCACATTTCTCAGTGAATGGGTTGTAGTACCAGCGTGGGATGCTCTCTGTGCACAGTCCGGTATCGGGCAAATCCACACAGTGACCTAGCAAAGCAAGACAGATGTTCTAGCCCAAGCTGTGTGTTCCCAAAGCAGCAGCATTTTCTGTGTGTGCTATAAAAGCACAAATGCCACTGGAACAGAGAATTCTTGGTTAGACCAGTGTCTCTCAAGTGCCGACTGTCCAGCTGCCAACTGCTCAGAACAGGGTATGGCCAAGTTGAGCTGATATCTGCCTATAAACCTGACCAGCAACTAAGAAACAGAAATATCAGAGTGTGCAGTCATGTTAGACCTTGAATTCAATCCGCTGAAGTAATGATTTGCCCTTCTCAGGGAGGCAGAAGGGATACAGTTATATGAAGAGTGTATAAGTGGTGAAGCATAAATAATGGCGCCTCAGAAGGGATACAGTTATATGAAGAGTGTGTAAGTGGTGGAATAAGGAATACAGGTGAAGCATAAATAATGGCGCCTATGAAACTGGTCTGGTTAAGGTCTTCACTAAAAGAAACCTGCATTTAAGCTGACTTGGGATATACTCTTCTAGCTCAGTGGCATCACTATACTGGTATAAACAGGGCAAAGGCAGGGGATCTGATCTATGATTACCCATACTATGTAACTGCTATGACCTCTACCCTGCTTTGATCTGTGCTATTTCCCAAACACTGCAAGGTATTCTGCAGGGCACAGCAGTGGACAGGTACTGTGCCCAACAGGCAATATGGATGAGACCTCCTTGGTGGAAAGAGTTTAGATATGTGAGTGAAAGCCTGGCCGTAAACAGCTGTACTCAAGGTCAGAGGACAGGTCTTTGATAATTTTTAATACAGCTATAACCACTGGGACTGTCTAGATACTACACCTTTTCTGAATTAGTCAGGGAAGCAGTATTACCTTGGAAAAGAAGACTGGAAAAGGAGGCAAAAAAGTCAGCCTATGTGCTCTTGATAGTTCCTACCTTTCTCATGTGTGATATTGATTTTCTGCAGTCTATTGAACTCACGAGCATCTGCAAGAGAAACATTTCGTGTTAAAACCACTCTCCCCAGTTGAATACAAAAGGAATGCTTCTATCCATACAAATTTGGAGAGAAAGAGCTTTCCTACAGATACCCTTGCTAGTATAAGCCAGGGAAAGGGAGATATGAACTGAGTTTTTTAGACATCCAGAAGCTACCAGAGGAACTTTGGAAATTAAAATGTAATTAGGATTCTCAATTTGAGTTCCACGAATACAGAAGAAGACAACAAAAGCTAACGAAAACACAAGCTGCTTTCTTAGCTTTGTCTATCAAAAGAAGTGAGGCAACTGCTATCACTCCAACAGTATGAATAAGCACTAGTGTCATATCCCTGTAGCCAAATGATCATAGCCTAGAAAGGCTGAAGCCTCCCACCCCTTCCCAAGGCAATTGTCAGAAGGGAGAAGGAGGGTGGGATTACAGGCTTCAGCAGTTAGCTGCTCTGCATTTATCACAGCATACCGTAAAGATGTCAAAGAGACAGTAAGATACAACACTCAATGGGCTGGGAGAATTCATGGTTTTGTTAATAACCTTCAAGCACAGGGTCATTCAGAGAAAGTACCAGAAGGCAAGGAGTGGGCAGGCTCTGAAGAATTGCAGACAGATATGGAGAAGAGAGTGGAAGAGCATTCAAGAGGCAGGAGAAATCCCAGAAGCATGGTCAGCTCTTGCAGTCAGCAGGGATAAGGCAGATGGCAGAATCTGAAAAGATGATAATACTATGAAAGAGGTAATACAGTATAAGCAGATGAGAACAGAAGGCAACAGCAAGCATTCAGTCAGTAAATATAAGTTAGATTACACCTGCTCCTGTGCAAACAGTGTTTTCTAAGCCAGAATTTGAAGTACCTACATTGTTCACAATACATCTCATCTGATCCATCAGCACAGTCTAGAGTGTCGTCACATTCCAGATAGGCATCAATACAACAGCCATCCTTGCATCTGAAGGTGGGGGGATGACAGTTCCCATTGCACACTACACCAGAAACAGTTCAGACAGTTCATTAAAATATATAATTTTGCTCTGCCACATAGATGCTTTATGAAGGACTGAAAAGTTGGTGATAGGACTGGCAAACAAGACAGATTGGATAAAGTGTCTCTTCAGTGCTATTTTGAACGAAAAAGAAAACAGCAACAACAAAACCACTTCTTGTTTATAAGCAAAGCTTTGCTTTGGGAACATCCACATTTCCTCTAAGAAAATAACTACACAGAAAGTGGAGTCAAGAATAAACTAGCCAGGAGGAATATGGAGACACTGCCCAACCATGCAGAGACTGAATTAAGAAAGCCAAAGCTCAGCTAAGGTTGAACCAGCAAAGGATGTGAGGTGCAACATGAACAGCTTCCACAGGCATGTTAGTTGCATAAGAAAGGCTTAGGAAATCAAAAGTGCTCTCCTCTGTTCGGCTGGGGACATGGTGACGAAGGACACAGAAGAGACTGAGGTCTTCAGCGCCATATTTGCCTCAGTCTTTACAGGGAAGGTCTGCCCTCAAGTCTTCCACGTCCCTGGGCCATTTGTAAACTCTGTCTGGTGAAGCCTGGCCCATAGTAGAGGATCACATTAAAGACCACTTAAACAAAGGGGACAGACATAAGTGCATGGGATGATGTGGGCGGCATCCAAGAATGCTGAGAGAGCTGGCTGATGTCATTGAGAGGCTGCTCTCTGTCATCTTGGAAAGTAGTGGTGATCAGGGGAGGTTCCTGATAGCTGGAAAAAAAGAGTATACATCACTCCTATCTTCAAGAAAGGCAAGGAGGAGGATATGGAGAAATACAGACTGGTCAGCTGAATGTCAATCCCTAGGAAGATTATGCACCAAATCCCTCTGGATGAGGGGATGGAGAGCACCCTCAGCAAGTTTGTGAGTGATACTGAATTGCGGGGGAGTAGCTGATGTGCTGCAGGGAAGAGGTGCCATGCAGAGAGGCCTTGGCACGCTGCAGACATGCCTCACTGAGGACAGAGGCAAATGGAAAAGGCTAAGGAACAAATCAGAAGTCCCACACCTGAGAAAGAACAACTCCACGCAACAGTGCAGGCACCAGTGGGCTACAATGTAATTCTGCAGAATCCCAGGGTCAGGATGGACAAGCTGAATAGTCAGTGGTGAGCCCCTGTGGCAATGAAGGCCAGCTGCTTTCTAGGCTGTGTTACCTAGCAGAGAGAAGTAATTATCCCCCTCTGCTCCAGAAACTGTCTTCAGTGTCAAATCCTGTGCCCAGTTCTGGGCTCCCCAGTACATGAAAGATGTTGTGTACTGGAATGTAGCCAACAGACTCACCAAGGGGCTGCAGCACATGGCCTTATGTAAGGCTACAGAGAACACAGAGATATTCTTCAGAGATGCACAAAAATAGGATGAGAGGAATCTGCAGCAAGGGAAATTCTGATTTGATAATAGGTAAAAAAAAAGTAATAAGGGCAGTCAAATATTTGCACAGGTTACCTGAGAGAGATTGTACAATCTCATTCCTCAGAGATACGCAAAGCTGGACTGGACACAGTCCTGAGCAACCTGATATGATCCACTATTGGCCCTGCCTTGAGCAGTGGGTCAGACCTCCAGAGCTATTTTCCAAATGGAATTATCCTATGACTGGAAAATGAAAGGCATAGTAGAGAAATCAGTCTCCAGTGCCTTGTTTTCTACACTGAGTGTTAGTTAAAAAGCCATGGGAATGGATATGAGAAACTAAGCCTGAAAATACACAGAGTTGAGGATTACATGGTGGTACAAGAGGCTTACCTGGCTGTTGTCGTCCACCAACAGAACCTGAAGAGGGAAGAGGAAAAACAAAATAAAATTCCCAGTATATTATACTGTTGGCTCAAGATCAGCTTTAGACTGCCTTCATGTCTTATCTAAGAAATGTATCTTTTTTTTTTTTTTTTCCTGAAACAAACCTCTATAGGGATGGGGAGTAGCAATACAAATTTTCATAATCCAGAGAACCCCACATGAGCAAAACCTGTGTGAGGCAGGACTGCAGAAGGACAGGGCAAAGTTCTTATCACTAGCTAGACCCTGAAAAATCCTTCAGGCCATTCTCAGACACAACTATGAGCTAAATTTAATTTGAGCGGTGAAAAGCAAGGGGATGTACACCTAACTCCCACAACACAACACCAGCCTCTGAATGCAAGTTCAGGATATGGCACAAATCTTCTGGGAAGACTTCTGTGGACACTATGGACACTCAGTCCTTGAATGCATCCTGCAAGCGTAATGAACCTGTTTCCTGCTGCTGTTCTCTAGTCTGGCTAGAGGCTCTAAAACATTGTTTGTGATGACATTTCTTACTGACCGGCACACACACAGGGGAGCTGTGCTCCAGGAGGTGGATCAGATCCTTGGCAGCGCAGTAGTCCTGTCACTAAATAACCTGGTCTCCTCAGCTCTCCTAATTCAAATTCTAGCTGCCAGCCAAGAAACCACAGTATCTGCCCATAGGATCATCAGGCTTATGAGAAAAAAGGGGTTGAATTTTGAAACAGACTCACCTTTAACATTTTTGCAGGCAAGTTTACACTCCTCTTCTCGTACGTAGTTATTCTTGTTGGGCTTGCAGCCCCCAAAAATGAATGGCTCACACTGCTGAAGACTTGGGTTATAAAACCAACGTGGAAAAGACCCCCGGCATCGACCCACCTTCTTAGGAGTCAAACAGTGCTCTGTCAAAAAAGTTAACACAGAAAAGTCTAATTAGCTTGCTTTATCTTTACATACGCAAAGGAAAAAATCTTGCAAAGTACCTTAACAGGATGAATACCTGACTGAAAGATATATAAAGCCCCGACTAGCATGGAAGAGCCTGGACTAAAAAAAGCCTTTTGAATTACAAAATCTAGATAAAGCCTGGGCCACTATGAACATCATGCTCATCATTCCACCTATGCTGCAGGCGAAGGGAATTAGGATCTTCACAGCAAACCATGTAGCTCACACAACAGTTTGCATTCTCTTTCTCTCTTACACCCTCAGCTGCATTCCAGTCTTCAGCTACTCTGGGGTCACCCAGCACGGCACTCAGAGGCAATCAGCTGATTGCAGGCTACCACTTCTGCAAGAGGACACGGAAACCCTAAAATAGACCTCATGAATGCAGAGGTCTTCTTCCACTTTGGTTCAAATACAGGTTTTTACTTAAAATGACATGCAAGTCTTGCCTCCCATTCATGCTCTCAGCACAGGCCTGGTAATGCCAGAGCAGCACCCAGCTTTGGGGCAGTTTTGTCAGAGACTCCAGCTGAATGGCTGTGGAGTTGGGCTCACCTTCAGTCTGCTCAGAGTTCAGCACTACGATGGTGATGTTGGTGAAGTCCTGCTGTTGGGCCGTATCCGTGACAGTAAGCTGGAAGACATAAATCCCCACCTGTAGGTTGGAGACTTCCACCTGATCTTCTTCCAGTTTCTGAGAAAGCAAAAAAGAGAGATTATGCAGAGAAACATTTAACGAAGGGGTAAGTGAAGCCATGAAAGGCTTGTAAGACTGTTGCATTAGCCCGAAAGAAGCTTGCCTGGAAATCTCCAAGCAGAAGTGTGGCATTAAAAATATCTCAGTGCTGTACAACTTCCCCCGAACCTGTGAGCTGCATTCTGACTGCTGGTGTCCAGATGGAACAGGGGAGAGAAACAATACCAAAAGCTCTATCAGAAATTCCACATTTTGGCGAACTTTGAAAACACACTGGAAAAATAAAACAGTCTTTAGAGAAGACTGAAGTATCTGGAGTTTAAATTTTATTTTTTTTAAATGGAAAACATTATGAATAATTTATTTAGTAGATAAGTATTCTCCTTCATTTTGAATGTGACAATATATTTAGTTTTAAAGGTGAAGATGCAGTGAATATTGCTTTGCTTGCTGAGAGGCTTCTGAAAGAAATTACTGTCAGAATAGAAAGCTTTGCTATTATTGATACAAACACTTTCCCTAGCTTTACCAGCAACACCGGGCCTCCATTTCCATGCTCTCTCTGCCTTTTGGGGTATGTATCTAGAGAACACAATATGGCTACATATTATTTTAATCAGACTAAAGAACAATAGCAAATTTGTACTGAAGTGTATGGGCCAGTGAAAGAGAGGATTCTGAACTGCAGCACTTGTGATATCTCTAGGCATTGCCCTAAAGTATTTATCATAAATATTTTTGTTGTGTTCAAACACTTCTTATTCTCCCAAAAGGTCAGAGGAGGGAGGAGGAAGAACAGAGGAGGAATGCTAATAATGCTAATAACAGAGGAGTCCTTTCTCTCTCTCTTTCTCTCTTTTTCTTTTTTGTCTTTTTCTGAACATTGTTCGGGAAAGAGGAGGGAGCATTTCCAGTTTTGCTCAGGCCCCTTAGCATCCTAGATCTAGATAGTGCTGGTCATTGAAATCAGCTGTAGGCCTGATGAACTAATTCTTCTAAAAGGTTCTACAAGAAACTTATATAAGCTCCAAGGCTTTCTGGGGCACATTTTGTGAAGGTTTAATAGCAAGCCATTTGTCTCTGTAAAACCACAAGACAGTGTTCATACTCCAGAGATCTTAGATCCAGGCAGGAGATGTGATTTCTGCTTCAGCTCAGCTAAACTTCTTTTTGCCTCAGCTAAAATAGGAAGATAAAATTACATTCTAAAGAGAGAGAAAGTCTACAAAAAATGCAGAAAAAGAGGAGGAGAACCTGGGTTATTCAGAGCTTAAAGAGGAGACACACCAAAGTAGAGCAAAGAAAAACTAAGGGCAGGGCCCTTGCAGAACTGTATTGACTTGGGAGCAGGGGTGGTTCTTGCACTGCAGCGCTGTCCTCGCGCACACACTCAGAAGGGAAGGCCAGGCAGCACACAGACACAGACAAGGAGTGTGGTGCCGGCGGCCAGAGCCGAAGCTCAGCACCAGGGGCTCCTAGCAGGGCGCGTAAAGAAGGGCCGTGACCACGGGGAACGTGCCCTACCTCTGCAGGACGGGCTCTTGGGTGGAATGGCACGAGACAGAAGGACAAAGTGACTCCTCAGACACCAGTCATGAGAGGCACAGATAAAACTGAGCAAGTTGCTTCCTTCACGTAGCTCCCTACCTGCATCTCCGCAGAGGGGTCACCAAGGATTTGCTTCCATTCATAGCTGACAATCCCATGGTCATCGGTGCTCTCCGTGCCTCTCAGCAACACTGTCTCACCCGGCTGTACTTTCATGCTCATCCCAGCACGGGCTATCGGAGGATGATCATCTGAAGAGGAAATACAGAGCAAGGCTTGGGTAAGAGGCTGAAGAGCTGTCTTCATGATAGGAGAGGAAGACTTTTCCAGAGTAAATCAGGACAGACTTCCATTACTAATTATTAAAATTACTTTATTACAGTTATGCTTCTTGCAGCCTGAGCAAGCAACAGGCAATCAACGCCATTATTGCTGCCCTCACTAATTTAGTAACTCCGCAATCCCTTCCAGTTGTGCCTTTGAGCCAGATGGCTACCTGGCTATTTCTACCCACAGGAATAAGAGAGTGTCTCTGTGGCTAAAGGCATTGCACTTCTAACAGTTACACCAACACAAAGCAACCTCCACCCCTCCACACAGGAGATGACTTCATGTGGCTATTAAGGAATGTGGAACTGCCTCCCATCTCTCCCAGCAGGATCTCTAAACATTATATTGGTGTACTGATACAGTCCTAGGTAAGCCGAGATTTGGACAGACAACAGCTTTCCTCCACCTTATCTCTCATGTCAGTGTTTGACACATGCACTAAAACACACATACAAATGCCATTCACTCAAACAGTATTTTCTGCCACTCAATATATTATCAGCAGCCATCCACAGTCCATTAGGTACTTTTACAGACACTTAGATGTAAGAAATGAAAACTGATTTCTGCCCATGCCACCAGGAATAGACTATACAAGGACACCCTCAGTTTCTTTTCTCTGAACATCAGTGCTGAGAAGCCTCCTGCATTGTTCAGATGACAGAACGCCACCCAGGAGCTCCTGCTCCAAGCACTGTTCAAGTTCAAACTGAATTACTTTGCAGTTCTTCCATCACTGAGTAGGACAGAGGTTTTGTAATGCATTCCAGAGTTACCATATGTCCACTCAGGATCTTCAGTTTTTGGATGCTGAAACTGAATGAAGACTTTAATACCACCCTGACCTTACATATGCTCCGGCCACCAGAAAAGTTACAGGTGAAAGAAACCTTTCCTTTCCGTGCCCAGCACATGATATTGGCATTGCAGGCAGGGGAGAGCCTGTAACGTGCTAACCCTAATATGCGTTCACAAGGCACAGCTCCTTGTTGCTTTCCCCTCTGGGCTATGTGTCACATCCACAGATCCCTTCTCAATCAGCCTGTTTGACCTCAGAACACCAAACAAGACTCCAAGCAGTGCCCAGCAAGCCTGCCACCCCTGGGCAGGTAGCAGGACTGCTAGGGAAGATCAATGCCGCTTTGCTGCCATTCCACGTGATGCTGCTGAGGCCAATATCCGTAGACCAAAGGAATGACTGGAGCCTGCAACACTTCCCAAACAGGGAATCAGGGGAGAAGAGTCCTGCGAGCACCTTGTACGCAGGATTCCTGAGCAGCGGATGGGGGTCACATCCCGGCAGTTCCTGCCATGCAAATGCCAGGCGCGTGGACACTGAGAAACACAGTCCATTCCCAGCCACCCTCCTGCCACACTGAGCTTATTGGACAACCGAAATTAGGTAAGGGAAGGACCAGTTCTTCAGCACCACAGAGGCCGGCCATTAACTCGTAACAACACCAAATGGCATTTGCCCTCAGCATTTTAACAGTTTACATGCCAAACACTTCACCACGCATCAGTTTATCTCCTTTGGGTTGTAGATTTAAGTAACAAAGTAAAAGGTCAGTTGTGATTCACATTTCAGCTAGTTCTCCAGATTCTACCTCTGAGGAGCAAACCTATCCAACACTGCTCGTCTCCAGAAGAATAGAGGTTTTGCTTGCATGCATCTGACTAGCAAAGAGAATTTTCACTAAAAAAAGGAGAAAATTATTTTCAGGGAAGTTGAGTTTCTCCTTCTTTCATAGTACTTGAGAAAAATGAGCAACTATTTATGTTACAGACTGCCTGTATCAAGCCCTTAGGGACAGCGTGGGTCTCCCTGGCTCTGCTGCCAGACTTGAATTGGCACATTCACTTTGAAGCCATTTCATTTTCCACCTAAGCTTCATAACCAAGTGCTCATTGAACCAGAGTAAATATTCCAAAACAGCTCTTAGAATGGAGATTGTCCATTCAGCTCTTTCTGCTCTGAAAGCCTGTTTGGCTGTAATAGGCTCTTTTGATGGTAGAAGTTTTCAGCAAATGTCTGTAATTAAGAGTGAGATTAAAGCTTTATGATGCTATTCTACATCATACTTTTACTTTAAAGTACCAGCTCCTAAAGCCTCATCATTAAGTGAGAACTTCAGCTTTCATTTATGCACAGGAAAGGGAAGTATCCTAGAGTGCTGGAGATAAAACTTGAGAGAATAAATCCAGAAAACTTAGAAACAAAATTCCCCAAACAAGGATAATTCAAAGTGTACTCAGGTCTTAATCCCTGTTTTTTGCTTCTTTTTTCCCTTCTGTTTTTTAACAGTTATGCAGCCAATGATTTGTCTGGTTTCACCTCTAATGCAAGTAAACTTGAGCCAAATTTGACAGTGGGACAGATGATATCAAAAGATATCTAAAGATATTAAAGATATTTAGTTCCTACAAGGAACTAGGCTGCAAAATCTCTGGAGAAAAAGAGATCCCCACTAGGGACCTGCCTAGCAGAAGATCTGGGTGCCAATGAAATCCCACAGGAGACGTCTTTGCAAATCTTCCAGGTTCAGGAAGTTTCTTTTGGAGCTTGGATACCAAAAGCTGCCACCCTTGAGACCTGCAATTACAGAAAAACAGATTTCCTCCATTCCAGCGCTCATGGATCTACATACCCTCAGCCCTTGAGACTATAAAGCAATCTTAAAAATATGCCAGTATGATTTGAAATTGCCACTGGAAAAAGCTGGAAAGCTTTCATGTTGCCTTATTCTCTCTGCAGAAGCAGCGACCTGCCTCTCTCTGCAATTCCAGGAGCAGCTTACAAAGGAGATGAGTGCTGCTTACACCTGGCTGAAGGCAGAAGTCACTGCTCATAGCCGCAGGGCAGGTCAGTAATACAAAGAGGGGCAGAGGTGAAAATGCCAATCCCAGAGCAGAGCAGTGTCCACTAGACACAACCTCTGTGATTTCCACAGTCAGAACCCACCAGAACCTGCCCCTTGGAAAGCCAAGAAATGGTGGACAGAGGCAGGCGGGAGCCCTGCAAATGGTAAAGTGCTGCTCTTCCATTGCTCCCAAGGAAGTCACTCAGGAGCTAAGAGCTTTCCAGGAGTATTCATTCAGATCTCTCCCATCAGCTCCACAAACCTCTCCAGAACAACAGGCTAGGATAACGAAGGATGATGCTGTTTGTGCCAGCAGAAACCATGTTAATTTGCCTAATGGCATGGGGAAGGGGAAGGGAACTAAGCAACACAATACATTTCTAGGAGAAAGGGAAATACAGACCAACATACTATTTCCATAGGGATGCATCGTACTGGGAGCAAATGGCAGTCACTACAAAGTCATGCAGTTTTGTAGACAACTCAGGGTAAAGTGGCTCCCAGTTGGCATTAGTTTCTAGAGACCTTTTCTGTAATAGTTTGTGAAAGGTGTGCACAGAAGGTCACCTTAACCGCTCCATGACAATACAGCGAGATGGAAAGGATTTCACGTTCAGAACAGTTCAACCTGCCGCTCCCTCCAGGTCTTTTTCACCCTTGCTCAGGATGTTAGAAACCTGTCTGATCTGCTTGAACAGGGAGGGGAAGAGAGTCTCCTGCAGGTGCTTGTGCCATTTTAGTAAAGGTCCGTTTGTTTCTCCAGTGTTCTTAAGTAGACCGAGATAGCCACCACATGCAGCACTTTAGTAAATTTTGCATCATAAATAACAATTTCACAGCAATTAGAAGTCACTGTACTCTGAGCAGGGGCTTGGATCAGATAACTTCCAAGGGCTTTTCTGGTATAAATAGGTTTCTGAATCTGATATAGGTCCTGAACCTGCAATGCCCCCATCTCTGGGGCATTTGAGGATGCTCAGCTAGCTCAGGACTTATCCGTATCAGCCAAGGGGAGGCCTGGGGACCAGAATTGTCTCAGCCCAGGCCTGGGCCCAGGCTTTGCTCATTTTAGTCGTACTGTACCCGAGGAACAGAAAGCAGTGTGAGACCAAATTCAAATACAATGTGAGTTTAAGGGGTCTCCCATTTGAATATCTTACTGAAGTTTTAACCTGCAAACCTCTATCCACAGTTGGCAAAAACAGACACATTCTGAATCCTACAGGATCTCCAGCACTTCCTTTTTTTCCCCTTACAAGCCCTAAGTGCATCAGGGATAGTATCACCACACATTTCATCACCACCACAAAAGATTCAGTTCAAGAAACGGACAAAGGTTCAGGGAGGTTAGTTTCCAGTTTCACGCCCCAAACTGGTTTGCCTAGACTAGAATAAGCTCATGTAGTGGTTACTTAAACATTGGGCTCTATTATTGCCAATAAAATGCGTGGTGAGCCTGCCCCTCCCAAATGAGCAAGGCATAAAGACTCGCATCAAAGTTCAGGCTGGGAAATGATTTAAGAAGACAGTGCCTTTTAGCAGGGACTTCAGGCTTTACATTAGCCGTAACGGGCAAGAGGAAGAGCCAAGCTGCCAGCACCCTTTTATACAGAAAGCAGAAGAATTCTGAAGATAGATGATGTACAAAACATGGATTTCATTATTCGTATTCATTTTGCCAACATTCACATTTTTTTTTTCACTCACAACATCTCAAGAGTGCCTACACTGGCTTAGATCTATGTCTGTATCCACTAATTCATCTATGTCTGTATCCAGTTCCAACCTGTGTGTGGATGCTCAGGAAAAAGCAGGAACAAGGCAAGCGTATGCAATGCTTTCTTGTAATACTCTCCCAGGTTTCTGTTATTTTCATCAGGCTCAGGAAATACTTCAAGACTAAATCTGTCTGTTCAGCAGCCCCCAGATATGCTCTCCCTTTCAAGTATTAAGTAATCTCCTTTTCAAAAGATATAAACCTCTTAATTCAACAGGAGTGCTCCCTGGGGTAGTCTTGTAGGTCTTGCAATACATGGGATTTTTGCTTGATTTCACCTGCTGGGACAGGCAAACTACATAAATATGTCTGTATTCACTCGAAAAACAGTGTGCTTTTGAGTCTCATTATTAGAACAAACATCTGGAGATCGTCACATTAACAAATCCTAAAGGGTCTTAGGAGAACCCACGGCACATCAAGATAAAGAGGTTATAAAGCAGTGTGTAAGTTCCCCCTAGTTTCTTGCAGCCCAGCCTCCAGGGGCTGACAACAACATATATTCCACAACAGCCACTGAACTTCAAATTTTAATGGAGATACAGCACAAGTGTGGGAAAAGCGACAGTTCTGTCTCCACTGCAAAATCTGAGCCAAGTTCCTTTGCCTATAAACATCTGGGGGGAAAACCTGGGCTGCTGAAAACAGATTCCTTAACAGTGGTTTCACTGTCCCTGGCACCTCAGGATCCTAGAAAGGTGCTGAAGCAAAAATGAGATAGAACTTCCTTATTGCTCCCAGACGGACACGGCCGATGCCCAGGGGCTTGTTAATTTGCTCTCCTGTATCCACCTACGCTCTGGCATTCCTTCACCTCTCCCACTCAGCGGAAGTGAGGCACTTGCCCCTCCTGCTAGGATAAGCCCATTATTTGTGCTGGGTTCCTCCTGTTTTGACCCAGTTCCATATGATACCTGGAAGGGTTTGGAGTTTTTTTGTTTTGTTTTCTGATCTGAACTCAAATCAAGATCTGCAGTCTTAAGTGTTTAATCAATTGCAATGTGAAGGAGGATCATCTATTGTAGTTTGTTTTATTATTCACTGTTTCTCCAGTACAAGCTCTGTACTCTTCTCTTTCAGCTCTGGATAACTAAATAACAATAGTCCTTTGATGTCACTGAAGGCGAATGGAAAGCTTTCACTATCAAAGACAATTCCTAAAGATTTCAGCAGAGAAGGGAAATGAATTTGCCATCGTAGCAAAGCACCAACATGGCAAAAACACTCCCTTGGTGGCTTAAGTACAGGAGCAGCCAACCTCCTACTTTCTGTTGCTATGCGCCTAGAGATGTGCCAAGCACCCTGAATGCTCCAGGGTGCAGAGGAGAGACTGAGCCCTTCCTGCAGGCACAGTGGCGCAAACCCCACGTGAGCGAGGAGGGGCATGCCCTGCTCGGCAGGCTCCGGGCAGCCTTCCTGCCAAAACATTTCTAGGATGTTTTTCACTTCTCGCAAAGAAGCTCTCCTTGGTTTGCCTCCCCACTACAGCAACCCCAGGGCTTATCAGAGTAGTAGCGGGGTGGGCTGCAAGGCAGCACCTGCACGTATTTCTGGAATGCTCCAGATGGTACTCTGGCTTCCAAACCCTGCTGCTGGGGCCAGTTCTGACTAGCCCCCGGCCTCTCCTAAATGCCCACATGCAGCCATGGCAAGCACAGCACTGCTGGCAGCCAGAAAACTCAGGAGCCTGTGAGTATTTTCCCAAGATCTGCCCGTAGGAAGGAGCAGGTCCTGCAGTCATGCTGCTAGCAGTAGGTGCTAGTCCACAGAAGTGGAGAGATTGAATCTCTCAACTGTACCTTATATTTTAATCTAATCTTGTGAAATCAGGGTGCACTGGAGGTGATGTATTCCCTTTTCCTCCTACAAGAAAACATGTGGCCAGCATGCAGCTTCCAGTCCTGGAGATGTAAGGTTAGCTTAAGTTCTTCTTTAATGGCAGCTGCTGTGGAAAGGTTTTTAAGCCTGGAAGGGAGATGCAACTATTGCAACAGTGAGCTAGGGATTTACCTCAAGGCTCTAAAACGCTGCCACATTGCTGCTAAAACCAGTGACATGCAAGGCCGGCTCAAGGAGCAAGACCCTACTCTGAAACCCCTGCACTGCTACTAAGAATGAATGGGGGTTGCTGCAATTTCACCTTCCAGCACCTCCATATCCCAGAATAGCACTGGGATCACCCCAGAGAGGCCTTGCCCAGCGCTCATGCTGCTCCCCTTGTTATCTTAACAGATCTGCTTCCTTCCCACGCCCTGGGAGGTCAGGGAAGGGCGGGAGAAGGATTACCTGCTTGAATATCCCCCAAAAATGCCTGCCCATGCATCAACATATAACAACAACAACAACAAAAACGATTATGCCAAAGACGCAATCAAATTAGAGTATTCCAGCCTTGTTGAGCTTCCTCCAAAACAAGGAAGGAGGAAGCAAGAGGAAGACTTGCTGTTTTTCTATTTTGGGGGGTTTTTGTTTTTGTTTGGGTTTTTTTTTTTTTTTTTCGCATTTTTAAGTGTTTCTCAACACAGGGCATTTCTTTGGAGACCAAAAGTGCATGACAAGTGGCCAGCTATAAATTAGCTTAATTCCCACCACGTGTCCTATGCACATGTGCAATCTTTTTCCAAGTAAGAGGCAGGAGAGGAGGAGGAAAGAGAAACCCACCTGCAGTCCAGAGAGTTTTTAATGAGCCCCGCTCGCTGCTTCTCTCTCCCCGGGTAGTAATGAGCAAAAACCCCATATGCAGCCATATGGGACACCTCACCGCCCGGGCTGCTTCTCACAAGATTCAGACAGTGGCAGAAGAAAAGGTAAGTGGATTGCCTCCTGCCCCTGGGCAATCAAGAGATTAACACAGCCCTTTAAAATGCGCTGCTGCTTGGATTTTGGAGGATTTCACTTTCCAGCCTCAAGCACCTGGGGAGGGGGCAGGGAGCGGAAAAACAACTCCTTTTTCTCCATGTTGTCAAGCAGCAAAACAAATGCCACATTCAGTAAACACCCCACCCATTTCAAAGAGTTTAAGCAGTGACTCCCTCTCCGTTCACCAGCAGGCAAACTGAGGCATGAATTTCAGGCGAGCTGACCGAGGTTGCAGAAAACCCTTGTGGAGGAGGGTCTCCCTGTATTAAATACCCCCTTGCCCTGGCCATGTAGCATCGCAGCTGCTTCAGTGACCCCTGCAGGAGGTGGCATGGGTGGCCCCTAATGCTGCTGCAGCCCGAGGTTGCGCTGACTGACCCACTCCTGGCACCTTACCGCCAAACCCATGCTCCTGCATTGCTAAATAGGCATCGTACACGTTCCTCTTCACATAGTTGAGGAAGCCGATCTTCCTGGCGAAGCGGCACACGAAAGCCTTCTTGTAGAGGCAGTTGAGGAGGAAGCAGCCTTGGATGTGGTCTTCCCCAGCACCCGGGTGCTGCTCCACCAGCGCCAGGTTACACATGTGGTCCTTGCAGCAGGCCCGGACGCAGTCCCTGCCCCGATGGACCTGCGGTGACGACAAGAAGGTGGCTCCATTCTGGACGGAGGCGTCCGTGTCCAGCACGAAGTCGGGCATGCCGGCGGGGAAGCGCCCCAG